TGTATTTGGTATAATTTACATACAGGATATGAGTTGATTATATAAATGGACTCATACAGTGTAATGGAAGTAAATGCGGAGAGCCGTACTTTATAAAGGCCAGGAATGTTGCACTGATTTATTACAGAACATGAGAGTGGACGTTCGATCACAGCCTTTGATAATTCCGCCAGTTCACGCTAGTGTTTCTTGCTTTTGGTCGCCCTGAATTTTGGCGAATTTCATCACTTCGTAAGTTGGTCGTCACGTGATTTTTGTGGATTTTCTCCTTTTTTGCTAGAAAATCATCAGTGATTTCTGGCTTTGGATTCAAAACATGGGTGAAATTTGTGATAACTACTGAAGTAAAAGCACTATCGAGCTCATAAGAACCAAATTATTTTCAAATTTATTTGGAGGCAAATATTTTTTTACGTTAAATAAACTTATGCGACTGTTAAATGATCAGGGACCTCCTTAGCATATAAAAAACCGCACGACGCGCCGTCACAATTACCAAATCCAAACAAACAAGCCTCCGTAACACTCTTCCTCTGTTGCAAAATGCATATCTCGACCCAGCGACATCCTTATCTCGTAAAAAGCGATCAGAACAAACACGACCGTGCAAACTTCCTCGTCGCTAGGCCTGCATCCCCGACGATAAACCCGTCGGTGATAAAACATGATGTGCGTTGACCTTCGACGCCATAAAAACTAGCCGCCGACTACTGCGATGTCGAAGTGGGTAATTCGAGCGCGCCGCCTTCTCTGATTTACAGCACCGTTATCGATCGGTATCGACTTAGCGGCGGTCACACCGACGGGCGTAAATCGTGACAATGAAGCGGCCGTGGCAGCGCATGGAACTCCTTCATTGTTGTGCCGGTAAATAATGGGTTGATTGGGATGGGTGATAACGCCCAGAGCGGTGAGGAACGGCATGGTATTGCCAGTGATTTCTCTGTTCGCGTATACGCGACGCGAAGTTATATATTTTAGGCTTAGAAAGTCAGACCGTGAAGATTTTGAGTCAACATAAAAACATGTTCTAAAAAAACTTTGCATTTGTGTAAAACTTCAAATTCACTTTCAAACAATAAAAAAACTGCAGAATACATTAAAATGGTATCAGAAATGCATCGGAATCAATTAAAATCTTCAAATTTGTAAGCATTGGCCGCTGAGCTCTCCAGATTTAGCTCCCATTAAACCCTTGTAATACATAATTCCTTCAAAGAAACATTTCATGGTGTCTTTCTGTCTTTTATGATCTAGTACATTGTTAAAATTCTTTTGAATAGACGAACTGAGGTTTTTGTCGACCTATATAAGCTTATATCCACTTCACCACACAGAAACAGCCCCGTAAAAGAGCTGGGCGGTCTCGGCTAATTGCCTCCAAGCGGATTTTAAGTCCCATCCAGCAGCTTTACGAAAGAGAGACTTGTAAACGGCGTAATAATATTGGAAGCGGCGATGTCGCCTTTGGAGGTTATTTTATGGCCGCTGCGACTACTTTTGTGAGAAACTAATGCTATTTAGGGGATGTACATGGCATTATAAAAGGAATTTATATATACTATAGGATACACGTATGTAAAAATATCTAATAGTACCATTAATTTATCTTTGTAGCTTTAATATGCTTTAATATGTAATTATGATTTAATATCTTCTAGTGAACGCCATCATATTTATTAAGTCTTTGGGTAGCTCAGAATTAATTAAAATTAAGTTTGATTCACTCAATACAGAAGAGTGAATGTTATTAATAGAAACAATTATATAATGGCCAAAGGTATGGACTTTGGGGAATAACATACATTGAAAACTATTTGAAATAACTATTGGCAAATCTTATTGAATTTAACATTAAAAATTGAGAGAAAAGCTGAACATTTTATCCCCATTCTAGTCGTTTCTGGTATATGTAAACCATGAGCGAAACTTTCGATAAGAGGACTGATGAAAAATGAACGAAAAAATTAGGAAAATAAATCTTCATAAAAGAGATGTTAAATAATGTGTTTCCACGATTCAATTTAGTTATTTTCTAACGTAAGTAAATGAGAGAACTACCAATCAACATGCCTTACATATCTATGAATTGGAAGAAAGTATGCAACCGTCCTGTTCGATGTCGACTCTAATGTTAGTCATTTTTAACATCGAAAATACTTTTAATCAGTTAATAGACTTAATTTTGACATGTTCATCTCCTATCTAAATTTATTGAGTAATGTCTTCATTACTGTCACAGTTATTTTTCGATTTTCTCCGGATATTAACTAGACAAAGCAGATTCTCAAACTTGCGTTTAAGTGGCGATAAAAACCGTCGTTCCTTTAATCTACGGAATGGGCCAATCCCTTTCCTTAATGGGTAATACCTTACTAAAGATATTGTGCGACAGTAAATAGCTATTATACATTGCACTTTATTTACTGCCTTAATGCAATTTAATGGCTTTACACACTGATTTGTGCTCATAAACTGCTACTTTAGAGCTGTACAGGAAACATTAAACGGGTAAATATTAGCCGGAGTTGATTAACATTTTATCGCAGTTTGAGAAAAAATTTAATTAATTTTGTCAGTCCTTCTTGTCTGTACGCGAATGGGCTCATTTAGCATGTTTTTTAAAATGTGTAGAATGGGACAAATATTCGGCTGCGATCGCTTGGCGCAGGCGTGGTTCGATCGGAGCGATTTTGCTGTCGTTGTATAGGTTGGCGTCGAGTAGAAGAGGTCCAGGTATTACGGAGGTGGCAATGAGGAGGGAAATGGTGACCCGTACGTTTTTTATAAGACTGTCGATGTTTAAATGCACTAAACTCTGAAATACATCGGAAATTCTTCAGTGTGGTTAGCGGTTTATGCGACAGGCTTTTTATATAATTCAAGTCGATAAAATTGGACTTTACAGTCGGCTCCAAGCGCTGCGATGTGTTCTCACAACGTTCCCGGAAAAATTCTCGGCATTAGCGCAATAATTCCCTCCGCAACAGGCAAGGAAACCTAATCCCTGGCATCCTCGGCGAATAAACATCGCACTAAATCCTGATTAACCGTCCGACGCATTGGCATTTATCGCTAATAAAGGTATTAGCGGAGAAGTATTAGTCGTCTCCGCGAGATTCACCGCGACCGAGCCTCGTTATTGCCTTGTGAGCTGCCCGCGGTCATAATCGTACTTAATCGAACTTTTTAAATCGCAATTACGCTTCCAATTAAGCGAGGATTTAAACACTGAGGAGTGACACAAATGGGTGTTTGCTGTAAGCTTCGCAGGTGCGAAAGATCGCGAGGAAGAATTACGTCGCCAGGGCATATCGGATGGTAATGATATGCCGTAAGCCTCGCTCAAGGAAACTGTCAGTCCGCGCTGGTGTTTGCTTAATATTAATAGTGAATTAATGCCATTCCTCCGAGTGAGCTACGCCTTCTGAGTGGTGATATAATGTATATTATGTGCTGAATAAAGTAAGATTAGCTCGGTGAACGGTTGAGTATAAATTGAGCGTAAAAAGTGGTGTTTAACTTGCTGGGTTTGTTGACCTAAGCGCGTTTCAAGTAATCAGTGGATGCTTTACACTAAAACTAGGTTTTGGTAGTGGATAACGTTTGTAGGAATTTCGACGAAAATTAAAAAATACACCATAAGAACACGTCATGGTAATCATAAAGATGATGAAGAAGAAGAAAATACAACATGGCACCTATACCTATAAGAAACGCAAAAGTTGATTCTAGTTTCTTTGTTTGATGTCCTAACGGGATATAAAAGGCTTCGAATTTCATTTAAAAATAAATTAAGAGTTTATGAAGTTCTCTTCACAATTTCCTTTACACTGTACCTCTTATGATATCGAGGATAACCATCTTTGGGATATTTGTACAGAAATGTACCTGTTTCTGACATATTTTTGGTACAGGGTATATTAGATCAATAATTTAAACGTTGGTAAAAATTGTGATGCAAACGTGTAACAATGGCAACTTGCAACTTGAGTAGTTTAACATACTGTCCAGAACCAACAGACAATTTTTCTGCGGAATGTGTGTTTTCCAAACTTGCCTAGTTCTTTTTTTACTCTAAAGATAAGATTACAAACACAACAGCAGTATTTCAAACAATACATTCTTAACAGCAATGCATAACATTGAAAGGTTCCTTCGATGTCCGCATTAAGCTCCATTTTGCGATATCATTCCTTTACGGCACGATTTTATCTATACGGGACGAAAAATATATTCCTCGCAAGAAAAAAAAAACACAATTTCCATCTCGCATAAACCAGCGCTGATAAGGCCGCTATGAAAGGAATATTTCCGGTGCCAGCTCTCTCACCATTCACCCTTATCGGCCGACAAAACGGAAATTATCGAAGGAGGAAGAAACGCCCGGTCTGATGGAAGTCAGTGGAAATCTATCCGAGGACATTAAGACTATGTTTACGCGACGTTCGTCTGAACGGCATTCACGAAATCAGTAAAAAGGGACCCATATTTTATACACAAAGACGGCGCTTACGAAACGACTAATTTTCTGTAGTTATGTTAATTTTTCGAACCCCGTACGCCCTTTAAGCTAGACATCTTTGGATTTTGCTACGTATCGCGGCGTAATTCAAACGCCTTAAGCCCCATCGACCCGAGACAGGCACACCGCACCTGTCTCCATGGGAACCACTCTACAAACAGCCCAAAATGTGCTCTAAGAGCCAGAATTGCTGATATAAAGCAACAATGAGCTCCACTTGAAAAGTTCTAATGCAGGCTATTAGTTCGGTCGATGACCCAGGAGATTTTCGTGCCTCTAAACAAAACCGCTGTTAAATCTTTATCCGAGGTCCTAAGGTGCTCCTTTTTCGTTCGCTACATTTCAAATAATACACATTCTTATACTTTATCGAATCAAATCGGGGCAAAGAGTAAAACCTGATTTACTTATGTCGATTTTTTTGTCACCTATTTACATAATATACTATCTACATAAAAGACTATTTCTGTTTCAGATCCTTTTCTGATCCGCTACATGGTAAGTTATTCTAAAAGAGATTAAAGATACACCTCATTTAGACAGTACTGTTAAACGTAGCAGTAAATTAAGATTTATCTTGACTGCAATAATCATAAAAGCAATATTATGAAGGAGCTTTATACGCTAAGTCTTATCTATGACTGTATCCTGGCTTGCACTTTCGCCTTAAAAGTTTCATAATCGTTTAATTCAACAGCGTTTTTATTGGTAAATAAACAACTGGTTCTGAAATTGTTAAACGAAATTGATCTGAAACTTTTCTGTCAAAATATTAACAACAACGCGTTACTGGTACCCCTGTCGTTCTAAATTTAGAAAGGCAACACCACTTGAAGCTTATTCCTCCTAATTTGTTGACAATGACTACACAAACACGATCCAAATCCAAGCCAAACACCATAAATAACCCCATTATCTCGTCCCGAGACTAGTAAATTAATAAGTGAGACAACCGCAAGAGCCTGCGTTTTTTCCCTGGGTTTCGTTAACAAACCGATTGAAGATTACGCCCGATTGTCGTGGGAATTTTTTTGGGAGGACTGGAAATCACGGTAGCCACTTGACGTTGTTTTCCCTACAACCTCAAGTGTTCGAAAGATGCGCACCTTACGTGGTCCGCCCGCCCATGCGTCTGTCCCGTCTGCCCACGTGACAATAAGGTTTTGTTTATTCCTCGTTGGATTATGCCATTAACCGGTCGGATACGTGCCGCTTTCGCGTGTCTGGAGATTTATCGACAGACGGAATTCGTGTCTTGTTCTCGTGTGCATACAATGCGCGTCATTCATGCTGGAGAGTTATTACCGTAGCCGGTTTGTCAGCACGTCGCTGACGAGTCGTGAAACGACGAAACGGGCGAGTAGGCGGATGCTCGCAGGAGCCGTACGGTACGAATAACACAGGCAAACAAAATAACGAAGTGGGCTGATTTGGAGAACTTACTAGGCTATCTTGACAAGCTTCAGTTTTACTCCAGTACTCACAGGAATTTGGGTAAATCGCAAAAAATGGCCGAAAATCCCAAAATGCCGACTAATGAGCGTTAGCCATGTTTTGAAAAAAACTAAATTGCAAATTGATAAATGTAATCTAATTGTTTAAAAATAAAAAAAAGAGCGTTAACTTTAAAAATTTAATGTGGTAGGACGGCCATCAACCGATTTCAATTTTTCAAAAACCATTTGAAATGTTGAGCGATCTTTTCTATGTGAAAACATTTCAAGTATCTAGATGCTTTATTTGAGGCTGTGCAACATTTTGAAAATTCGAAAATTTTCTTTTAAAATTTTTTTCAAAAAATTATTTTGCGAAAACTATCGAACCGATTTTAATGAAATTTGTTGTGTTATTTTATTATACTGTAAGTTTTTTTTCGGAGCAATTAAAGTATTTTGAGAAAATTATTAAAAAAACTTGATTATTTTGCCTTTTTTCATCAATCATTGCTGGTTTGCAACATCGGTAATAAATTTAAACATTTGTAACTTACAGTATATTGTGCAAAATTCAATTCTAAAACATTTTTCCTCTTCAATATTCTTCCAAAATGCATAGGTTCCAAGATATAAGCAGAAAATTAAGATAAAACAGGTATTTTTAAAAATTTTTAAAACATGTTTGCATTTTGAAATGTTCCGGACCTCGCCCAGATCTAGGGATCTACACTTTTATTATGTGAAAAAATTTGCTTGCCCCCTCTCACATCCACCTCAAAACAGATCCGTCCTGGTCTATAAACTGACTGAGGAGTACTGTATTCTTGTTATCACAATTAAATTCATTACTTTGCACACTTTGCTGAAGTAGAAGGATTTGTCAGCTCGTTTCCTGCAAATCGCGATGGGACAGAGACGTGGGTTGCTGCTGCAGTAGTGACATATTCTAATGCTCAGATGAATATCGTTTTCAATTGTTCCCCTTTTATAGTACAATGTAAATTTATTCACCAGATATCATATGTCATTCACGGGTGTAGCTGACAAAATGTAAGTACCGTAACAGATTTGCCAACGTAACTACTGGTGAGTAGCGAAATGACGAAACTGGCGTAGGCGGAAGTAACGGCACGTTCTAGCACTCATTTGAATATCGTTGCCAAATGGTCTCTATTTCCTTTGCTTTTATGTGTTTAGTTTTTGTGCAACGGTTCGCAGTGTACAATTACATATACCGCGCGAAACAACTACTCTGCGAACTATAGTTCCGTGTAGCATTGAATTCCATCCGTAATTCACACATTTTATATCGTCTACGAGTAGAACCATTCAAGGAAAAAAACGTTATTTCCTTTTCTTTTTTATACTCTGATATCCATAACATCATTACTAAGGTTTCGGCTTCTCCTTTTTACTTCGTTAATGCATTTCACTTTCAATGAAAAACGTTTCAACCCAGAATAGAACTGCGAAGAAAGCGCCGAATTAATATTAATATCACAAACACAAATCAAACCTGGGGCGGATGGCAAGGGAGCAAGTGAGGGCCTCCCAGCATTGTTGGCCTTTATGTATAATACATACTGCTTACTTGATCTTACCCAACCATATCACGGACCCATATAGCCCGCGGTTTTAGCATCATAAAGGGCCTTTATTCATCGAATAAATCTTTTTTAGTGTATAAAAGAGTTGCTTATCAGTAAGCCAGTTCTTTTTGGGGGGCGTCCGCTATTGAAGGAGTTTGAAAGAGACCCACGCGAAATTAAAATGTGTCTGGTGCACAGAGACAGCTGCGATTGGGAAACGAGTTAGACTAAACATGCTGATGATGCGGAGAGATTCGTTGGTGGGATATCGCTGTCATATGCAGTTCAGAGAAACAGAATATACTCGCTTATATTTTACCTTTAAACCATCGCATAGATCCGGATCCAGAAGTGGAAACCTAGATTCGCAATAATTGTATTTAATGTAAGTGCAATTAAAAAGAATTGTGTCAAAAAATGACGGTTAATTAGTACAATGTCAATTAATGAGTCTGGAATAATTCACGTGACTTGCCTTGACGAATAAATCAGTTGATCCGGAAAAAAATAATTGCCGAGCACGCCGACGAACTTAATTCCCGTTAGAACGTCCCATAAAGCAGTTAAAATTGGCAGTAAGTACGCAGTTAACAATCTACCCGATATTTACAAGTTTTCTTGTCATGTAAAAGGCTATTAATTTCGGGGCAATTATTTCCAGATGTTTTCCACTGGGTACAGAAAAATGCCAAGGTAAAATTCCTACCGAACACATTATTCACGTCGAGGCAGAGCCAAAACGGCGCAGTCTGATCAAAGTGCTCCTCCTTTTTTCGCTCTTTATTTTCATATGGCGAGCACGTGCCATTAAAACCCGAAGGAAGTTGTCAATTCGACTGGGGTTTCGTGTGGACGCCGCCTAATTGCTCCAAGTGTTATTTATATTTCATAACGCAAAAAAAAGAAGTTGACGAAACATGAAACAAAGTCAAGCCAAGACAAGCAATAACATGATTTACCTACTTCTGGCTGAAGATTATGAAATTTTAAAATGAAAACCTTAACTATTTGTTATAACATCATTATTACATATCTGTTCAGCATTACTGTGGTTTTCACAGTGCTCTTATTACCGTGGTTAATTGTTTATATCAGTTTATGCAGTCTAAACCGTCAATATCTGCGGAATTAGCGAGTTCCCGCTGCACACGACACATCAGAGGCCGTTAGCACTTATCCTACTTCTTATTTCAGTCATATTTCCTTTTTTACTTGTAAATTATGTCACGTAAAGCGGACCAGGACCACCGCAGTCGTGCTTTAAAGGCATCACACGCCTCTTCCTCCGACTCGAGAAGATGTTTACCTTGTTCTCTCCAAAAGACATAAATCACCCGATGATTAGCTCGCGAAATACCGAAAAGGCCAGATGGGAGTGGCGAGGCTTCGGCAACAGCGGTTTATATTAGAACTGCTCGTCTGTGATCGTAAATTTATCGGTGGAATTAATCTAAAAGTCACAGCAGATGCAAATCAAATAACAAATAAGAGATCTGTAGGCATTTAGATTTCTCTGGACAAATATTGGAAGTTTCGAAAGCATTTTTACCTAAAAAATATTGTTTGTTCGGTGTCACTGTGCATGTTTGTTTAGGAGACGAACATTTCACGTAACTAGAGCAATAGCTTTCTCACTTGTTTGATTTTTCCCATAGCGCAATGTTTACTGATTTCGTGACGCATGCCATCTTTGTTTTGTTAGACAAGTTCAAATATTACCAAAGCACGGATTATCTAAATGACATACTCTTGAATTTTAGTCCAATGAGAAATAGTTTATAATCATAAACTAGGGTTAAATTTGATTAGTGAGCGTATGAGATAGTATAGTTGACTATAATTAAGGATTTGATGGGCATAATGGTGTTTTTACGAACACTTGGAAAGTGTCAGTAACCTTATCAATGATTGACAAACATTGATCAATATTTTCCAACAATTTAACTAAACAAATTGTTTTCAGAGCACATAACAATAACAGATTTCGTGTTCAATAGCTCGATAATTTAAAAAATTAATTAATTATTAAGAACAAAGCAAAGATACCCTTTAACGACTATAAGGATGCGCCTATTCAAATTTATAACCCAAAAACGTCAACGCTTGTAATTATGCAATCATTTATAAACGATACATCATATTAATTAAATATTAAACTCGGTAATTTAGATAACACCAAAACTATTTAGAGCCTATTATATTAAAAAGTAAACATGCACACACATTTGACAGGCACTTATCTGCGCTTACAAAGCTGTTTAATTTTGACGTTAATTCCTCTATTTTTTTGTACATTCCGCCGACATGAGCCGCTGCTGTTATAATTATATCAGTTTATGGTCCGAGCGGAATATGTACGTCTAGACGTTTATCATCTTTAAGGGCACATCTTTCGAACGGCCGTTATTATTTTTACTGCCCTGAAAATTATTAGGTTTATATTTTATGTTTCGTTCACAAAGAAACGGTGGTGTCTGCAGGTTTGTCTTCGGATGTTAGGCAGCGGCGTAAAAGATACGAGGGTACTAAAATAACATCGCGAGGGAAATGACCTGATGCGAGGCATGCAGCATCAGCAGGCGTCCAAGAAATAATTAAAATAAATAATTTTAAAGACAATGTTTTTTTTCTACAATGAATAGGGTTTTAACATTCAGCTTAGTATAGAAAAACGTTACTAGTATGGAATTTCAATTTTTTTACCTGTTCATATCGATTTTGTGTTGTTATTTCAACCTTGTTTATTTTTATGTGAAGTTCGTGTTATTCTCCAGCAATTAATTTTGGTTTATGCTGCTCCAATATTCTAATTATCGTGCTGGGCTCGCACCCTGTAAATTAATTTCCTTAATTGTTCGACTGTAACTTCCCCTATGGTACGACTAATTACTTAACACCCATAAACTAACAAAAACTTTACGATGGCTTGATGCATCTCCCCCCGCTGCTGTAAATTAACCACAGGCGATTTATCAACATTTATTGCAACTAGTGTTAAGGCATGTTAATAGGGAACTAATAAGCTAATTGTTTGTAGAAAATTATTATTTTCTTTAATACATAACGTTGAGTTTAACCGCAATAGAAATGAATCAAAGCAATGTACAGAATATTTTTTCCCACATTCTTTTCGTCAGCCTTCTGCTGACTTTTTTAGAACCCTTTAAGATAACCTTATCGAGTACGACAACGTCTAGGAGTTGTTGTATCGAGACCAAAGTGAAAGGTCCATCATGGAGTGATTGATGAAATGTTCATCCACTTTTCGTGTTTGTTTCGTCTTCTGTTCCACTGATAACGATTCCATAAAAGATAAGCACTGTCAAACAGGACCTTATTAATCAGAATCGACCGGGTTTACATGTGTTCGGTAGCTGGTAAGAGATAAAGCAAAGTATTTGCCATATCTGGAGAATCGATCACGAAAAATCGTTCCGAGTACCAAGGACTTAATTTTAATAAAGGTATTAACTTGCAACTCACATTGTGATTAACGCTTCGAGAATCTATTTCACTGGAACAGCCCAATTCCCTCAAAACGTCGGGTCGGCAGCTGATCCAAGTCGGCTTATCTCACTCATTACGCACTACAGACACTTGGGGAACAGACCCCGCATTCTTATCAAATAATTACGGTGTTATTCTCCAAAGGAAACGGACTCTAAAAAGTGAATAATTAAATCCTGGTCGTCACCAGCATCTGCGCCTTGCCAACAGAGGGCGCTTTGTTCGAGAGATCTTATCGGGGAGCTCAGTCTGTCGATGGATGGTCCCGATGGCTGCTGACGGATGCCATGGGACATTGAGTCGGCATTTACCCGTTGCGGATCGTCGGAATTCCACAACAGAGTTTGTTTAAAGGACATAAAATCCGGAATGTCTAGTCTCGCGATTTTTGGAAGATTAACTGATTACCAGGATCTAATCCAATGCTGGAAGTGGTGTTTTATGACATTAGAAACGCTTGTAGCTGTCTTCTACTTTAACTGTACTCGCAGAGACCTTCAATTCCTGACTTAGTAATTTAGGCATTGACAAATTCATCATCATTTTCATGCAGATATTATATAATTATATTAAAGGATGTACATACAAATTAAACTGCTTTAAAATTGTATCAACCACACCCTGTATTTAATCTCTCGTCAATCCAATTAGCGGCGACTGTTAATGCCGCGGATAAAATCCTTTGTCAGCCACAGGCCAATATAAATTAATTTAAAAATAAATTAAAAACCCCGACTGGTTTTTAAGTGGTGTGAAGAGCAGCCGCACCCATTAAATCAGACAGGAAGGCCCGATTTACCACCCCATTACCACAATTAGAAACTCACGAGACATTAGATTTACTAACTATGGAAAACCTCGGATCACGTACGGTTTAACTTTTTAGATGTAAGCCTTCCGTACCTCCAAAGAGGCAGGACACCTTGATTTATGCGCGTTTTATGGTAATTTTCGAGCGTTTCGAGGTGTCTATAAGTTACAAGTCCACACGCTGGCTTTGTACTGCAGTGGATTGCATACTAAGCCCCCTTATTCCTATCTGAATGGGCCCCACAAGAAGCTGCGGCAATGACAAGTTTATTTTTCACTGAGCGCAGTTACAAGCTGGTTACAAATAATCGCGATGCAATATAATTTATAAATATGGTATAATATATTTGCAAAGACCCCTATTGACGCGGCGCCCATGGTCGTAATTGGCTTAAAATCGTGTAAAATAGAAAATAATTTCGTAATTCTGTTCATTATGCAAAAGTCACAGTTCTATCAGGAGAATAAGGTATTCGTATATACGATTATATTCGTTCCACTGCTCACGAATTATGTTTGTGGTATTGCCAAGGCTTGCACTAGGTCTTCTTCATTATTGATTGGTTGAGCGTTTGTCAAATACTCCACGGGTCTCCACAGTCTTCTTAGGGCTCAAAAATGAAACCAATGTGGCTATTTTCGGATCACAGTCTCTACAGGTGCTGTTTTACGCTATAGATTAAGCAACCTTTACATTATTGAGCGGTTGTACTGAAGAACCGTCAGGAAAAAGACACATTTCTGTGCAAATATCCAACAGAGATAGCTATCGTCGATATCAAATATCCCACACCCGTGCGAGCAATATAAGACGAACCGGAAATATCCAGGAACTGGGGCGGCTGTCTGTCGTGGCAGATTATTAACAGTCCCCCGATCAAACGCGGAGTCAGTTTCGTGGTTTTTGCTCATTTCGCCATCGCGTAATGAACTGTCTGAGGTTTGGCGGCTTCCTTACTCGCTTACCCGTGACCGAACCCGCTGATATTGCCAGTAACGCTATACCCCGATGAAAACGAAGTCGATAATATGCGACGGCAAATATTGCTCGTTGATTTATTGAGCTTTACAGATATATGTATTACCACAAGTCGTTTTTGAACTTGTTCTGTTTTATGAAATAAAGTTCATGTATTAATTTGTTGTCTATTTGTTCGGTTCACGTTAATGTAAAAGTCACTGCATAAATTTGAATATTTTTAGAGAAATTTTTAACTCGGATGAAATGGAATAATATAACCTATGCATATAAGGCAAAGGTATAAACTTTTAGCCAAAATCCGACTCTGGTTATTGAACTGCATGGTACTTGAGTGGACGTTTGAACCCACCCTACGCTGGCTCCGTAAGGCTCCTATAGCAAGATCAGCGTCGGGATCGGAAAATTGGCCTTTGGAAAAACGCCCTTCTTTGAAAATTACTTTGTGTTCGATTCCTTCCAATAAATCAGCTCTTTTACGCATGTTTTTTCATCCCTGAAACGGGATTTGTGAAAGCTAATATTGTCGCAACGATCAATAAATCGAAATTTACGGGCGTGGCGTTGCCCTTATGTTCGAAAGAGTCGTGAAATGGTACAATGTCGCACTCTTAATAAAACTCGAAGGCGTCAGTGATATACAATGTATATTTTCAGTGATAAATGCGCTTTTCACGTCACGCGACCATAATCCTTGGCAAATCTACCTAATTTCCCGGGTTAGCGCGACATGTTTGGATATATAAGCCAAAGTAAATATATCCAATACTGTTCCGTCTATATTCGTGCGTGCACACTCAGAAAACAGTCGATTTATAAATGATAGACTTTCATTTTTAATAAACTGGCTACAGAACATTAAAAAATAACCATAGCACAGAATAATAAGCGTTTATTGATATATTTCTTTTATTTTCAGATGGAATGAAACTAGTGGCTCATCTCAAGTACATCGGCAAGTATTCGACATGAAAGAGGCCCTCCTTTCAGCCGTGGTGCTCCTTTGGGCGTCGAGAATAGAAGCAATAGAGCCCTGTAAGTAATCCGTCTCTTAGGAATTCAGGTGGAGTGCAATGCGAGACTTTAAAAAGTCCGCATACCCTCCAACTTTTATTAAATTTGTGTGTATGAATATTTTCTGTGCTACTTGATATTTGAGGAGCCCCGAGGGGACTTTATAATGTTCTCAGAGTTTAAAAGTTTTTCACTTTTTTGTAATTTGCAGGCTGAATACTTTTATTGTACGGTTCTGCAGCTCATTTCATGAAAAAATCGTGAAATTAAAAGACAATAGGATAATCTTCTACTAATGTGTGAATATCTAGTAAAATAAAAAAATCAATTGTTTGCCAATTTTGATGCTACGTGCTATAAACAAAAAATGTTTAGCACTGGACACATAAATAGCTATTCTAACATCCTGTACGATAGGAACTCTGCGAAAGGACACTAAATTACCATCCCAGAGACCGCTCGAGCTTTGTCGACGTCACGCCTGTGCAAGCCGGTAGCTAATAAAGGACTCTGTTTGCATTCCTCTTTATTAGAACCTTCAAAAAATACGCCAGTGGATGAGATCGGGCAGAATCAAAGCAAACAGCAATTTTAAAAGTTTAATTTCCGAGCTTGTTGCCGAATCGAGGCGTTTTCCTTCCAGTGTATAATTAATTTTTATCCCATCGAATCGAGCGAAGTCGGGGAAGAAGTCCTTAGGATTGGAAGGACCTCAAACGTGTTCTACCAAAGGAGAACAGGGAAATAATGAGGTTGCCACATTCAGATGGATTGATTGGCTTTAATATTTGCTTTTTATGAAATATAAAAACTCGCTTTGATTCCTGGAAAACCTTTCAAAGAATGTATTTGATGGATTGAACCATAATTAAAATCGTTATTTCCCTTTTCTACTGTAGGAGAAGTAATTTTGTGTAAACTTCACTACCTACGCTGCTTATGACTGTCTTGTAGCTCAGAAAAATATAACTAGAACGACATAATTCGCTAATTGAAATTTTCTTCTAGCGCAATGCATTGCTCCCCTGGGGATGGAATCAGGCGCTATCCGAGACGAGGATATCACAGCAAGCTCTTCGTTCGAACACGGAAATGTCGGACCGCACCATGGAAGGTAAGCTTTTTTTCTTTTGTCTCATTTTCGAAGCGGAAAGTAAACACAGGCATTAAACTGAACCGAACACAGATGCAAACGCTTTTATTACCTACGGGATTGTAATGCTTTGGTAACGTCCTCGTAAAGATTCCATCGTCTTATTGTCCATGTACATAATCCAAATAGTTTGGAATTCAGAACGATAAAATCCCCCTGAAAACCTGCGTCTACCAAAGTTGGAAATAATGAATCATATCTTAGATCGTAAAGAAGCTTATAGCTAATTTCTATAGAAGTTATAGGTGCATTATATTCAGGGAATTGTGAAGTTTTTAGTACAGTTTTATCGATTTCTTCTATCCGTATTCTAAAAATAAAAGCTTCTTGGTGTTCCTGTCCTTTAAATTACAGCGTTTCTTCACTGACACTTAAATCTTATTCTCTTGTTTCAGGATCAGAAACGAGATCGACGGAGGTGCCTGGTGTCCTCAAGCTCAAGCCACCCCGGAAACCAAAGAGTGGATCGAGATCGACCTCCATTCTGTCCACATGATCACCGCTGCGGAAACCCAAGGTCGTTTCGGTAACGGGCAAGGTGTGGAATTCGCTGAGAACTACATGTTAGAGTACTGGAGGCCTCGCCTGAACAAGTGGATCCGTTACCGAAGCAGAACAGGAGAACTTTTAAATGGGAACATAAATACATATCTTGAGAGTAAAACGATGTTGGACCCTCCTGTATGGGCCAGCAAGGTCCGGTTCTTGCCTTATAGCAGCCACAAGAGGACCGTTTGCATGAGGGTAGAAGTGTATGGTTGTAAATGGACTGATGGCGTAGTGAGTTACTCGATGCCCCAGGGAGACAAGCGTGGTACCAACTGGGAGTTCTATGATAGTACTTACGACGGACATTGGGATGGCGAGAAGCTAAAATACGGTCTAGGACAATTAACTGATGGTCAAGTGGCACCAGATGACTTCAAGCTGGCTTTCCACCAAGAGAACACACAGGGTTGGGTGGGATGGAAGAACGATACAAGGGAAAACAAGCCTATCGAGATAACCTTCGAGTTCGACAAAGTGCGGGAGTTTTCTTCGGTGAACATTTACTGCAACAACCAGTTCACGAAGGAAGTTGCCGTTTTTTCGGGGGCCAAAGTATATTTCAGTGTCGGCGGTAAACGTTACAAAGGTGAACCGATAACCTTCGATTACATAGAAGATCACATCTTCGAAACTCCGCGCAATATATCGATCAAACTTCATCATAGAGTAGGAAGATTCGTGAAACTTCAACTGCAATTCGCAGCTAGATGGATCTTGGTCAGTGAAATTACCTTCGATTCCATTCCAGTCAACGGAAACATCACTGAAGAGGAGGAAGAACTGGAAGAACCCCCTCTGCAAAAAGACCAAATCGCCACTCCAGGCATCGAAAACAAAAACGTCGTGAGCGCGGTTAATCCACCTTCAGGGCTAGGCCAGTACCTAGGGATTATCGTAGGGATTCTTTCCGTGCTCGTAGTGCTAATGGTAGTGGTTGTTCTCTACGTGGTAATCCAACAGAGACGTTACAAATCATCCCCAAGGCCATCCCAGGTGCCCAGCGGTTGCGACAAAGCTGCTCTCTACCGAGAACCGAGTCTGGGAAGACTTCCCGGAAGCTCCGACTACGCCGACGTCAGAGATCCTGAGTACGCCGTTCCTCTGCAGCAGCCTCAAACACCTAGGGCACCTCCCCCGCTGCATAACTTCTTCCCCAAGCCACCACCCGTACCCCCACCTCCCGAGAGGTACTACGCGGCAACGGAGATTTGTAACACTGGGTTCATACCGCCTCCGCCGCCGCTGTCCACGCCGCCACCGGTGCGAATCGGAAGGCAGCCCAAGTACGTGTCGAACCGGACCTACGTGGGACCCTAGACTGTGATAAAGACTGTTCCGTGCGCCTCGAGGGTAGAAGATTTCTTTTAGGTGAGTTTCCCCGTCCAAAATAACTTACACTCCATTGTAACGAGCGTTCAAATAAAAACGTGGTCGAAGTTGGCTCTGACACATTGGACGTAGGGAGTAGCTTATAGCGACCAACTTAACCTCATTTCTCAACGAGCTGTATAGCAGCTGTCAGTTTCAATAACGTTAATGACTATATAACTTTATTTTAAAGAATAATCGTGATAACAATAACAAACAATTAAAGGAGCTGCGGAAAGTGTCCCCCTCCTTGTTATAACAATAAATTAAAGCAGCTGCTGAAAGTGTCCCCCTCCTTGTTCCAAGCACTTTTCACACCTGTTCCTCAAAGAATTAAAGACATTTTCTAAGATGCTCGGGGTATTGTTAATTTCACGAATCTTGTCTATAAGTCGAGCCTGCAGATGGTTTAAATCAGGAATAGGCAGTTCAAAAATAGTGTTTTTAAGGTAAGGCCACAAAAAGAAATCACACGGCGTAATATCACATGACCTCGGTGGAAATTCATGTTCAGCATTGAGACTTATTAGTCGATTTTGGAAAACTTCCCTCAACATATTCATCGTCTCGCCTGCCGTATGTGCCCTTGCGCCATCTTGTTGAAAGTAAAAGTTTGTAATTTCGTTTTCTTCCAGCTGGTTAACAAAAGGAGCGATAATTTCTTCTCTATACCTTTGCGCAGTAAGAGTACCATTAAAAAAAATAGGTCCATAAATCCTCCTTCGATTGAGAGCACACCAAACTCCAATTTTTTGAGCGTGTAGAGGGCCCTCGACAAAAAAGTTATCTGGTTTTTCAGAAGACCACATTCTCATATTCTGTGAGTTTACGTAACCACTTAAATGAAACCAGGCTTCATCAGAAAAAAAGGTGATATTATGAAGTTCACCGTAGTTGTTTAAAAACCATTCACAAAATACAGCCCGTCGCGGAAAATCAACTTCATGAAGTTCTTGCTGACAAGTTAAACGATAGGAGAACAAACGCAAATCTTTTTTTAACACTGTGTGGCAGGTACCGACTGATACTCCCACCATTTGTGATAAAACACGTACAGAAGTTCTTGGCGCATTTTCCATTATTTGTTGGACATTTTCTTTTAATTCTTCAGTCCGCTTTTTAGGTCGGCCGCTTCCTTCTTTTCTTGTTACACTGCCCGTTTCACGAAAAACATTAACACAACGCTGAACTGCACTTTGAAAAATTTTGTACTCAACAACGCCGGGAAATTGATTTTGAAATTCTATGAAACATTCCTCAATAGAATACTTCCATATTCCATCAATCTTGCGTCCATTTCTAAAGTAGGACTCTATGATAAACACTTTTTGTTCTTGAGAAAACACCATTTTAAACGCTTTTTAAAACGAAAATATTCAAATTGATAGCGGCGATATAGCGCTTTGACAGATGACGTTTAAGTTCATTTGCTATACGCTACGCCCTACGTCCAAATTTTCAGAACCAACTTGACCACGATTTTATTTGAACGCTCGTTAGATTGGAACTTTATGGAGGTCTGTTCTGGAGCACCACGATCTTAGAATTCCTCATCCAGCTTTAGCCTTCTTATTAGGCTCTACAGTTCTAAAATAGCTTCTTCGCATGGTTTCCAGTGTTTCTGTTCTGAGCTATGGTTTTATCTTCTTCTGGCAGCGTCCAGCCAGCTATTGGTCACCAGATCCATATTATTCCAACGTTTTCTGAGGTTGTAACATTAAATAGTATATATGGCCTCTCCTTGCAGTTATTTTTGGGACTTATCTTTGATTCTGCTGAACAACGCAGCTAGAAATGCTGTTAGAGAGTTCATATTTCTTTACAGCCTAACTCATAAGACTTCTCATTGACCAGACCGCTACCATGCTCTGGTACCCAAGCAAGATCACCTTTTCAGTAACGATTTGGTATCAACTGATTGACTAATTGTCGGAATTCCGCTAAGTAGGTACTTGCAGAACGACGCGTATCCTAAAAAGTTCAGTTTTTGCGAATTAAATAATCAAGTATTCAAGTAATGTTCACTCCCTGAATTATAAAACCGAAATTAACGGCCTGTGGAAAAAGGCAGTGATTAAAAGTACGGATCGAAAGTACGGAATAAACAGACCTTTATGATACCCAGGATAGCAAAATTTCTATTAAATTTACGAAAGCACGACAGTAGCATGCGATCGTAACTCCAGACGTTCCCTGCGAGCTTATTAGTGTGGAGCTTTTAAACCCATCGATAAGTCGAAAATAGAACACCGGAACAAATACACGGTTTGTTTTGTAATAAGCTTTCCTCTGTAGTATAAATCATTTCGCTTGTATCGCGGCTCTTAAGACATTGTATGAGTTGTGTTCATCTAAAAATAAAAGACCTCTCCATTTGGTAGATTAAAAGTTACGTGCTCCGGGCTATTTCTAGACTCGGGTTTGGTTTTATTCGGAGCACCATTCAAACTTCAATGGGGAAGCGATGAGGAAGCAGGCAGCAATGTCGATATCCGAGAAATATGGAAATTTATAAAATCTGATCAGGCTACTTTTCTATGCAAATAAACTATGGTCATGTGTTTTGTCGAAATTTTGTTAAGAATGTTTGGGTGACAAATGTTTTATGTATCATTGATATTATGTGTTATTTTGCTAGATTCTCTAAAACTGAATACTAACATGCGTTTTGTAAAAATTGTAGATAGAATAAGACATAATCCAGTCTGATTGTTAACGTCCTCAATCTTGTTTTTAATAATCTTTTCTGTTTGGTTTCAGCTCGACGTTGTCATCAACTTCAAAAGGCTGAAGACTACCAAATGTATTGCTTAACTTATTTAGGAACTATGTACTATACTTGCTTTATATGAATAAGACAATCCAATATTATATGTGGTATTACTAAGTAGATGTCTGTAAATATATCCCTATTTTAAATTAAAGCTGTTTATACCTTTGTATATACATATCCATCAGTATTGTAAATAAAATTATGATGATAATAATAACTGAAACATAGAAAACCTCGTTTCATTTCAATTTCCTTCCTTAGGTAAAAATAAAGGTAATGGGAAACTTACAAATATGACTCAAAAGGTAGTCGATTTTCTTAATGGGCAAAATAGTTTTTACATTTGCTGCCATGAAAACAAAACAATAACAACAAAAACAAAACGCGGCCAAATCTAATTTGCCGAGCCATGAAACTTAACGGCGATTTTTTACGTAACCATCATAATTGGGTAGGTTGGGCACGTTCGAATAAAAAACGGCGATACGTGGGTTTCTTCTAAGAAAATTGGGCATCGCGGCCCAAGAGCGCTACGGTTAAAGATTAGAACGAGCTGATATACGTTTATAGCTGGTCGTTCCATATAATAAGCTGTTTTCACATTTAAATTAGCCTTGTTTTTGTAGTCCGGATCGTAATTTGAAAGCCTTGTAAGTATGACAGGGTACACGACGTCCAATTTGTTTGAAAAATGAACAACGTCGGCGGGAGATTTGTTGGGCTTAAGAGTTATTACCTCTTCGAGTGGAACTCGATATAACGAAGGTTAGTACGAAGGCGGAAGACGCCGAAAATGAGAACGACAGATGGGTATCAAGGTAAGTGCATCACACGCTGCGTTTTAGAATTTCAGCTTAAGCAGTTCAAGTCAAAAAAGCACCTATGTAATCTATTAAATAAAAAAAGTTGTAATTGTGTTGAATAACAATCAGCAATAAATAAATAAATTTGCAAATAAAAAAGTATTTCCGTTTTAGTACACAGTGACATACATTTGAATGTTTCTTCTTCATTTTTTCAATTTTAATAAATCAAGCCACTAAAATCCCGTCAAAATTGACGCAAGAGGACGTAAATCCCTAAATTCCTTAACATACACGCCCATGACCTTCACCGAACGGCATTAATCCTGTCGGTAACGCAGCGCGGACAGCTCATCATTCTCGATACGTTCTTTCCCGAAGCTATCTTATCTATTTTTACCCGGAATGCAAGGAACATCTAAAATTAGTACTGATTTGTAATTTTACTGTCGCTTATCTCCCTTGTAACGAGCCTCTTTCCTGTACACGACATGAATGAAAACGAAGCCGGTTACATTAAATAGATATACAGAAAAAATGCCGTTGTTGATGTTTGGGAAAGCATGTTAACTTCGTCGAGATTGGTTTCGGAATTGTTTTCGGTTCATTCTAAAAGTTAAGTTAAGCATTCTTTAACTGCACAGATATGTAGAATACTGCGTTTATACCATAGAAAAAATTTTTGGTAAAATTCAAATGAATTTTTAATAACTAATACGTGAATATATTGAAAGTTTACTCTAGAGCAAGATCGGGAATACCTCAGGGATATATTCTAAGCCTACTCCTATTTATATTGTTTATAAATGGTAGCAGTGATATTTGGCCTCACTTTTCTTTCTTTCTAAGCATGCAAATAAATAGAGATACACTTCTTTTGCTCTAGTAGTCTATCCTTCAAAGTATACACTTATAGCTTCTCACACTCATCACAAAATCAGTTTACCCATCCCACATCATCAACTCGATAAGACTTCCAAATCTAAATGCGATATCTGAACCAGATATTTAATTAAACGAAAACTGTATTTTTATCTATTCTCGGCCAAAGGCCGCTAGTCACATGCACCCTTTCAGATAACCTTTCATCCCTTTCCGTATATACAATCTCTAGGATATTCATCTCCGATCTAATCGTAAGTCGAGACTATAAAATGCAATCGAGTAGATCTCTATCGCTTTCAACAGTGCCCTTTGTAGTCTAGGTCGGACAGGAAACTGTTAATTGGAACCGGGGGCTGTTTACCTCATTTTTAGTGAACGATGAAGGGTTTGAATGATGTTAGAACGACCTTTTTGTAGTTTAAGAGCTCTCTTTAGCTTCTTCTTGGCTAATGAGCCGATGAAACGCGTTGGTAATTAATGGAGCTGGACCATGATTTATTTTGGAACGAAAAAAGAGTTTAAATTGCACAATTTATTGTATGATTGATATATGGGGAGCTTATAGTTAGGAGACTTGAAAAATGACTTAAGGATCTCATATGATTTAAATTCAAAACAGCTCTGTTACCAACTTGACGTTCGATTGGATCTCGCCAGCAGTATTGGAAACATCGGTAAAAATTGGGTTATTCGCTGGACAACCTTTTTTCATTGTCGTTCCCTCTAGCTCAGTCTCGAAGCTTTGAAATATGGATCTGGTTTTTCTTTGGAGTCGTTTCGACCTATCATGAGATCTAGCTAATTTTAGATCTATGTACGATTGGATTCGAAACATGGGTTATAATTTCAATCGTCGCTGTCTATTTTTTGTCGCTCTTAGAGTAGTTTTAGAACTGTTAAAGTCTCTACGGCAGATTTCTGATATTGGATTCGAAACAGGGCGATTTTTGAAGATACGTACCATTAATTCATGTGAAGTACCTAGAAGCTCTACGCCACGCAACTTACCGTGCAGTACCATAAATCTGCACGCCTTTACCAGAACATGACTAATTGTACCGAGCGCTTCAAACACCGTGCAGAAAACACTACCAATTCCCGATAAACTGCAAGAAACACAACCAGCTCTTATCCGCCTTTGTTAAAATTCACGACCAGTGACAAATTGGATTTCTCACAGTCATGCACGACGCAAATGTTACTATTATCGTCTGGCACCGGCTTTATAAGAGCATATAAAATCTCCAATAATGAGAGTGACTCACCTAGCGTCCGCGTACCGGACTAGGTATTCGCCATTTGCGAATCCGTATCGGCAGCTGCGGTATATTTCCTAATTATGCTGGGCCTCGCGTTGGGTAACAATGCGTAGCGGCTCCTTGACACGTGCAGTCGGGGATTCGTCACGTGTCGAGCCGTTGACGCGGGGCCGTGAAATCAACGGGAAGTAATGCGATCACGGGCGTTATTAGGGAAATTCCAGGTACAAAGGACTGCGAAGTGTGCCCTGGGTGACCCGAAGCCCGGCGGAAGTTTGAAATTAGATTGGAATTGTTACAGTTCAATCCACCGACATATTGTTATTAGTATTATACCACTATCATATGAAGTAGACAAGAAAGTTCAGAAAATTTATAACAACAGCATTAAGGACCAGTTTAATATATAGGGTGTTCATTCAAATATAGATTTCGACTCCCAATATCAGATCTATATGTATCTCTATCGCTCTCTAATAAAAATATTGTTAAAATTAAACTTTTTGGGTCACAATACATTATCGTCGAGTCGTCAAAAGGACAAGCGCTTCCAATTACGTTGAAGTGAAAGGTTACACTTGGAGCTAGTGACAGAAGAGATGTTTTCTCCCGTTTTTGACAGGAATGTGTTATATTTGATCCCGAATTTCGTGCCCTTCCAGGCGTGCAGCGGTAACGGTGACAATAAAGAGTAATTTAGGCAGTCAGTTAATAAACTCTGGGATGAGCGCTAATAAAAATAGAATCGCGACAAAGCCCCGCCACTCCACGTGAGGTACAGCAACATTAGGCCCCGTTTAATAAGGCGGGAGCGGCATTCGTCCCGAAACTTTAATAATTCGACATCAACCACGCACGACGTAGCAGTTTAATATTCCCTCCCGACATAAAAGAAGGTAAATTTCGTATTATGAAATCCCGACGTTGATATACAAGCAATAAGGTGGGAGCCAGCGATGCGGAGCAACCGCGTCGGGTAAACGAGCCCAATAAGTTAAAGCTAGTCGCTTGCTGAGCCCGCGAGGCCCCTGGCTTGGGGTTGCGCTCTGATTTCAGCCGCCTTTTATTAAAACTAAATAGTTAACAATGGGCGTCGTTAAAAGCTCATTATTTTCCATACTGCCGGCAGCACGGGAAGCGATTCGGCAGCCAAGACCGTGGATAAGTATGGAGGCAGAGGAATGAACTCGCAGAAAATAGTTTTTAAGAGATTATAAGGGATTTGTTTTTTCCACCTACAATTTGTAATATTCCACAGCAGCTTCACCATGGAGTTGCAATGAAACGGTACTCTTATATCATTGCGAAAAGCAAAACAATTGAAACCTATGCAAATGTTGACTATGTCGTTTATGGTAAGGCGCATTATCCATGGTAATCACTGCAAGGCAAGTAACGAAACTGATGCAAACCATTCTTAAATTAAATTTTCTATTTAGTCGTAGCTGTTACGCCACCTGGCGACCATTTTAGATACTAGCAAACATTTTTAAGCGAATTTTCTTCAACGTACACTAGTGGAAAAAATTAAGGGATCAAAAAAAATCTAAATTTTCGGCGATTTTTCAAATGGCTGTATCTTTGATAAAAATGGTCGTATTGGAGTAAAAAATAAAGCAATTTGAAGCAAAAATTTTTTTTTCAAGTAACACGTATCGCGCAATCTTAATGAATATTAAGAAAAAAAAATTTTCGAAATTTTTTTCGAACTAATTTTTGGTGTACGGACTTGAAAAAACTTTTTCCAACTTAATCACCTTATGGATTAGATAGGTTGTTCATTTAGCTTCAATTTCTTTTTTTTTTGGTCTCGATACGACCATTTCTCGCTGAGCTACCGGACTTGCACAGAAAATCGAAGTTGGATTTCAAAAACTTGAATGAATTCACTACAAGGTCCTGGCACGGTTTTTTAGGAAAAAAAATTTTTTATCCTTAACATGACTGAAAAATCGTAAAAATAGGACTTTTAGGGGTCTTCTAGTAAATCACGTGCCACATTGAGAATATTGAGAAAATGACTAAAGTTAACTGTGGCTTTTACAGGTCATTGTACCCCTAAAGTTTCAATTCGATCCACCCAAGCCGTTTTTTTGTTTCAATCGATTGAATTTTTAAAAAAATTAAAGGATCACATTTTTTTGTCTGTAAATGCTCATAATCTGTAAAAAATGAAAAAAACATTTTTTTCCTGTTTTATTTACATTCTTATTGCAGAAAGCGTTTGAAATTTTGAAAAAATTTTTTTGTTCAAATCTTTTTTCTACTGAAAAAGGTGGTTTGAA